TGCAATATTTCACTGATTTACCACCAGTCCTGCAACGCGAAGTTTTCATTCGCAATGAAATAAACTAAGCTATATACAAAATTCAGGTTTTATTAATTTTTTACTTTCGTTCAGGTCTTAACGGCATTAAAAATTCTCCACGCGCTTGAAGCCATGGGTGATGTGACTGTAGAAATATTTAAATATCTATAGAGCCATCAGATCGCGCAGTTCAAACAGATGATGATGGTGGTTAGGTGGATACGTCTCCTGCAGTGGTCAGATTGATTCCTCATCAAGTTTCTGCTCCCATGGAAGTAGCTGCGTCATATGTACATCGAATTGCTGGTGGCCATGAAAGTGCATAAAACGACGAGTCTGATATCGATCAGGAGCTTGAACCATTACCTACACCGTGAAAACGACAGTCAGGCATTTCAGTCGCCAGGCAACCAAACAACACACTACCCGTTGCTGGTGTTGCAAGAGGCGGTATAGTAAGTAAGTAAGTTCATTCGCTAGGCTAAATGTTGTTTTCAGCACAAAGTTGAGTTTTCATGTCAGTGGGTTTAGTGGCAATGTTGAACAAAAGCAAAAATCTACGCACTTTCTCTATATGAAGGCAATGTGTAAATGGCAAGATAGTAGCATGCTTAAGAAAGAAACGAACTTGAACAATAGAAAGATCTTAATAGCTGTCAGAGTCAAACGTATGTATGGCCGGATAAGAGAAGAATATGCTTATTTCATTAGTTCATCTGTGCAGCCCTTGTAATGACTTAGGACTCGATAATACCAACGGTTTGATATTTTCACTCTTGAATCCTATACCTTCTCCTTTCTCAGTTCTTACATCTTCATCCCTTCTTTGTCAAATAATATATCTTATTGCCTACTTCTTAGAAAAAGGTCTGCAAACATGTTCAAGATACGTGCGTATGCACGAGAAAAATCAATAAAACACACTCGAAAAACAACAACAAAACCAAACGTTTTTAAAGACGAATCAAACATACTACAAGAAGAAAAGTTGTTCATAACAATATTATCAGACACGATTTGACAACAAATTCTGACAGCATCAGAGAAGGAACAGGTCTTTCAAGAACGAAGGCTTATCATTTTGCTGTTCTTCCATCAATTCAAAGTGTCAAATTCAATTTAATGCATACATCTGTTTACGAAACTGATCATCCATATATATATATATATATTGCAGATGTGGGTCCAGTGTGAGTTAGATGAACAGTTTCCAACGCATTTCGGAGATGAGATATTAGAAACCTATCTACGACATGAAGCCTTTACTAAATCTTAATTCTTTTGAGAAAGAAATTTACCTAATATCATGCTTTACTTTATGACACATCCGTAAAAAATAACTTAGTTGAAAACTAACTTCTTTAACCATTGTAATGAGGTAGTAGACTTTCATTTATGTACATATGACCACAGTTTTACGGCCATCACGTTCTTTACGAGATTGCCTCCGCTATTGAAGAAATTATGACCTCCGTTATGGAAGAAACTTCAACGCAGCTGTTTTATTTTGCAGATCTGTTTGTATTGCTGACCTTTGACAATGAGCAACTCAAAACGTCACTGATTCGTGTAATCGAATTTATATGCGGAACAGTCCGTTAGAAGAAAATAAAAACGGCGGAATTAACCTCCTGTATAAATAAAGATTGCTCGTCATTCAAGTCTATGACCTACAATCATAAGTATCTTTGCTCATATCTTGTCTTGTTCCTGATTGAAAAAATCTTACGTGATGATATCGGGAAATTGACATATTGAAACTTTTAAGAAGCTCTGAGCAGAATTCATACGTGACCCAAAGGCGATATCTTTAGGGAGAGATTAGCGAAGGTAAAAGGAGGTTAAATTTTAGTCAGTAATATTTTCTAATAATGGTCAAAATGGTGTTTTTCGTATGGAGATGATACTGAGTGAAAAAAACAAAAATTATTGCAAACAGAACAGAACGATTTATCTATCAATAAAACCAATTTTTTAGTTTCGCATAATATGGTCCCTTCTCAAGAAAAAAGAAGTCAAGGTTTCCGATTTCCAGACAGGCAGTTTGCATCAACAAGTTTGTCCGAAGATGAGACGTGAGCTGAATTCGTGGAAAGTTTGCAGAAAAGGAAAAAACTAATTAGCCTGATCAAGCTCTGTGCAAGACGTCGCAAGCACGAGTAATTTGATCCTGCCTATCCAAGAAGTTTAGATAGAAGGATGAAATATTGATGAATGAATATGACAAGATGATTCCTTTCATCGTACATTAGTAGAGAACTGTATGACAAGAAATAAATTTTGCCAAAGCCCGAACTAGTTGGGATCATTCATTGCATTGACATAAGAAGAGAACCAATTTTGAAAAATTAAAGCTGAATTATAAAATGCTTGAAGACAATATCTGTTTCAGCACGCACCGTCTGTGAAAAACCACTTCATCACTAACATAGAACCCATTTCAGTGCACAAGGCAGGCATTCAAGTGGAAAATTCTACAGTTATCATGTTAGAGAGTATAAATTGAAAAATGAATAGACAAGAAAGAAGTCATGCGTTTGGCTCAGATTTGCTTTCACTGTTAGTTAAAATTCTTTCTAACAGCCTTGGTATCGTTTTCCCCTTCAGCACGATTTTGTTGCGCATGGTTTAGTACCTTACCTTGTCTTCGTTCTATTTTGTATACATTTATTTTTACTTGAAGTCTTATGTCTTTACAAACTAGTCACGAATGTCGTACCGTCTAATTTACCTACAAGATTGTGTTGAAAAAGACAGCTATGTTCCATGCCTTCAAACAGTAAAATGCATGTACATTCAAATAAAGAATGTTACATCAAGTTTGACCTCTCCATAGAGAGTTCGTTACGCTAAGAAGCAAGATTTTCATTAAGTCTGTTTCAGATTCAGTCATCTCGCACTTCTTGATTCTACTATAATATAGTTAAATATTCAAGAATTTTTTTAATTTTAATAAATTCTGATTTACTCT